CCAGCATAATTTTAAATATGCAGCTGTTGCACATTGGAACTCCCTCACAGTTTTATTAAAAAGTTCAAATAATAGAAATCAATTTAAATCAGATTTAAAGACCCATCTCATAAGTAGTTAACTGGCATATCCATCTTTCTTGACTATTATTAGTATTTTAGTTACTTTATTTTCTTTGTGTTATATTTGCTAACCAGAGCATATTTGTTACTTCCTTGGAAGATTTTGTTTATTGTTTTTTTCCCTACCAATTCATTATGTATATTTCTTATTTTTGTTTTATTAGCAGTTTGATTCATTTAATTGTTTCATAACAGGTTAATTAATTATTATATCAACTGGTCGCTTGGTTATTTATTAATTTTTTTTTGATAAATAGTTATTGATGAATTGTATTTTTCATCTATTTTGTTTCCTAATATAGATTTAAAATTATAAATAATTTCTGTCTGTCAATGACCTATGCACATAAGTTTACTAGCATGGCAGGGCTGTGGACTAGACTAGTTCAGTAGAACTATTTTCACAGTCCTCATCAGATTTTTTATTTTATCTATTTAATTTAATTTTCTTTTCTTTTTTTCTGATGAAATAAACATATATTGTCAAGCATCTTCTCTCTCTCTGTCTACACCTGCTTCGTTTCCCATCAATTTTCCCTGTCATTACTAAATGTTCCGTTTCTTTTCTTCTCATCACGTGTCCAAAGAACGTTGTCTGCCTCTTCCTTATTTCATTGACGAGAGACCTCGTCTACTATTAGCGCAACAAACTTATTCCCTTCATCTATGTAAATATTTATAAAGTTTACAATTCAAAATGAAACGAAGAGGTTTCTATTGGCCGATTTAATATCATTGGACGTTTTCAAATGACGACATTTGACACAGTGCTCGTTGATTGGCTGGCTGGATTCTACTGCATTAGTGAATATTTATAAACTGAAAGAAATGCCTTTGTTGTATCGAGAGTAAAGTGAATAGCCAGCTGTGGATTAACTTGTTAAATGTAAACACTGCGTTATATTGATCATACTATCTATAAACGCGGAGGTCTTCGCGCAGCGCATGTTCGAATTTCATGTAAATGACCACTCTACTCAATTATTCTACATGTCTGATGAATGCGTAATTTAGTCTTGCTTTTAAAATTTGAAGCTTACTGTCTATAGGAAAGAAGTGTGTTAACTCCATAATGGGTTGTGGGATAGAAGATTGAACTGTAGAGGGCGTTGTTTTCTGGGGGGGGGGGTAACTCAGCTTCTCCATTATAGAGGCTTGTGTCATCGCGCATTTTACACACATTGTGTTCGTCGCTATGCGTCCTATATCGAACAGGACGCGGCACGACGACTGCCGCCCTTTAAATTCAGCTTTTTACCTCTCCTAATTTCAAGCAACACTTCAGTTTGTGTTTGTTTTTAATTATCTATTTAGCGGAAATGGGAAAACGACCACTTTTGAACTTGACGCGCTAACCAAAAACAATTCATTTTTGTTTTGTGCTCCCATGGATCGTCTGCTGATATGGTTGCGGTGACAATGGACGAGGACACTGAACTGAACGGCTGTTGTAGCATTCCGCTGATACATTCAAGTTAAAGGGCGGTGGTTGTTGCGCCACGCATGCGCAAAATATGAGACTCATATAAACAAAGATGGCGACTTTGACATTTGCGCAGAAGAACGAGTACAAACTGAGACGTTACCAAGCTTTAACTAGGTAATTTCTTTGGAGATTAGAAGGTATCAAAGGAGTCACCGGCGGTACTTAGTGCACGTCGCATCAAGGTCAAAACTGGTACTCATGATTTTCATTTACAAGAGCGCTTGGATTGTGGGAAAATCGATGTTTATCAACACAACATCCACATACGCGGCGCGACGACCACTACCCTTCAACTTTCAAAATGACCACGTGATGCATCGTAGCGAGCTTTACGTAAAGTTGTTAAACTTTATTGTATTTCGATGGTGCGGTGGTTTTGCTACTTCCTCGACACCGAGGGCGCTACACAATAAAATGTCACTCATGCCCAGTTCTTGATTGCTATTACTAGTAAATGTACTATATAAATAAAATATAATACGGATAGTTGGATGTTATTTTGATTGTAGTTTTATATTATGCAAATGATACGTAAGTATATTTTGCTTGTTTCATCATTTCAAATCATTTCCATAGCAGTGGCCATACGTTTATTTACAAACATCGCGCGCGGTCATATCACGTGATCGGGTGTGACCTATCATGATTATTCATACGGGGTCATACATACGTATTTATAAATTACTATGCAACGGTAACCGAACTACTGTCACACAAAACTCGGGTAAAACATCCATTTTGAGGGTCAAATTTTGCTGACACAAAGGATTTCAGCTTGATTTTGTCGCCAAAAGTAAACATTACCGAGTCAAGTCATGGTTATATTATATATTTATATGTATATTTAAAATATCTTTGCAGATGATTGTGGTTGTGGTTTAATGATATTACTCTCAAAGCCTCGTTTGGTTCGAGGGATCACGTTGATTAATTAATTGTGTGTTTCATTTCCTTTTTATGTGACGTGTCAACAAGAAAGCATGTCAGTTTCATGACATCTTTATCAAAAGATCCATTATCTGAGTAATAACGAATTATTACCTGAACTGATAACTGTCTCTACTGTTTGTCTTTCTTATTTATATTTAATACCTTAGCTCCCACTGCGATTACACACAAAACAGATATAAATAGCGTGACAGCTTGTAATAGTATATTTACCCATAAATCAAAGAGGCAATGTAAAGAATATTTGGTTGAGTAATTTTTTATAATAAAAAAACAACATTATGATCAAGTTACAATAAATTGTGGCTGCAAACAGTTTCAATGAAATAATACAACACTTTTTAATAACTTTATGGATAGAGTCTGGGTACATATGTATTAGTTTTCAAGAGATATAATATTGCTCCTCTAAAGATTCAATATAGGCTCACATTCCACAATGTGTATTATAGCCTATTCACAGTTCTATTTGGGTGCAATAATCTTTCGAACAAAACAGTATGGAAGGCTTTTAGTAGATATCGATGGGCACCATTGCACTATTATAACAATTCATATTTCTATGATGAAATTGTTTCCATGTATCTGTCGACTTAGTTAGTTCCAAATCACTGAACCAAGTTCCGTCCAGAACCTCGCACAGCCATTCGCTAGTAATCAACTAAATAAGTCGATCAACAGATACGTGCAAACAATTTCATCATATGTCTGTCACCGTTTAGGCCCATGCGAGGTTCTGGACGGAACTCGACTCAGTGATTTGGAACTAATTACGAGATAACCGTCGCTATTCGGACTACTATTTCTGACAGTTGGTATTCGCAATTATTAATGTAGTGAACGATTAATAAAAAGATATGACGTGTTCAGTACTTAGTGTGATTGGCTTTATATTTGAAGGTTACGCCTTAGAGTCTTTTAACTGCTTTGTAATTGGTTAAGGTTTTGAAAGTGAATAAAGTTGTTTTAGTTGGTCTTGGCGAGAACACCACGAGAGACGCAGTCTTGGTTCAGCCTTGCGATAGTCTTGGGGACTTTTCCCCAGGGCGCTGTGTCTTATAGAGTGCTCGACTGACCGACTAAGACGAGAGTTGAGTATTTTGTTGTGTGCGTCTATTTGACTGTAAAGTTTAAGTGACTTTCCCGATCCCGCACCTCAAGGGGACGCGATAGAGAGCCAAGACGAGATTTATCCCTGACACGTGTGGAGTACCCCAGAGAAGAAGAATTTCCCCGTGATATTTCAGCCATCGATTGACCCCGGGGATTGACCCCGACATCCATAACCAGTAAACTGACGAAAAAGGTCACTTGAAGCATTGTGGGCCGTGACTGAAGTAAAGTCGACCCGGATTGGGCACATTCGATCACAGAGCATTAGCGAAACATGGTCGGAGCAATAATGAAGGCATAGAGCTCACGGCGGCAATAAAACAAAATACGGCCATGTTGTCATCAGCGTTTCAGCTCGCCACGTGTTCAACAGCCTGGAAGCGTGATGACGTAGCCTCTCTACGGCAACCGTTTGGACAGGATCAAAAGTGGACACTGAAATGCGGCGATTTTATTAGATTTAGTCAACTTCAATGCCAATCTCGCAAATTACAGAGTGTATATCATTTTTATGCGACTTATATCAGAACAAATTATTTTCATTTTTTTATGACACTTCTGCGCTTCTGAGAAGTAACGCGCTAGACAGTAATATTCGCTAGGGGTTGAGACGGATAACTCCTGCCCGAAGTTACTTCGTGTGTGAAACTTACAACAAACTATATGAGACAACACAACTTGACAACACGTACTTCTTTAATGAAAATATTGGCAAAACACTAGTGTAATTAATATGCGTGTTCCAGCATAATCTAATAGGTGTACTCTCGGCGCAACAAGGGTATTCGCATCACCTTTATAAATACTTATAAATTTCACAAGTCAAACAGAAGGTTTCTATTGGCCAATTGAACAACATTGGAATGATGTCGTTTTCTAATGTACTCGTACATTGACTGGTTCGATTCAACTGTCATTGAAATTTATAAATATTCATAAAGATGAAGGTAAACCTTTATTGCGCCGCCAAAAGTTAAGTTAAATACAGTGTGTGTGAATATTGTCTAGCTGAAAATCAAACCAGCACAGAACTGTATACACATTTTTACGGAGTTCAACTAGAAATATTCGAAAGATCACAATATAATTTATTAATGGAAATGGAATACAAATTGAATTTAAAATGATTTAAGTATTACATAATACAAAATATACTCGTTTGAAATGTACATGGTATTTTTGTGAATTGCAATGCTGGACAGGTTTTACGCGGACACAATAGCGAATTTGATTGGATTAAAGTTTATTTGTTGGCGCTATAAACATTTTAAATTAAAACTACTCATCTTTAGAATCCACAGTATCTTGCAAACACGTGTATTATAATGTACTCCATATGAATTTTATGTACGTATTGGAAATGCAATGAGCATGTCTTCATCGTGAGTTGTATGTGTTCTTAGCGGCAGATCCCCCGCAATGACTGCTATATCTAGCACTTCGACGGCGGCCAGATCCACAGAATATCGCAAGAAATCCAGTACGAAATGATCGACTCCAAAATGCGTAAATAAACGGATTGAGGCACGAATTTAATCCAGCTAAAATACGAGAAAACGAGTATATGACGTCATTGATGTTTAAATCAGACGTGAAATTGAGAATCAGGAATAGAAATTGGTTCGGTCCCCAGCAGACTAGGAACGCAAGGCAAACAGCCAAGTACATCTTAATTATTCGGTGCCTGGCACGGATCCTGGCGGGCTTGATAGAACTACCCGAATCGGCGCTGCTTTCTCTGAACATCCGTTCACCCTTGCGGAGAGCCAGGAGTATTCTAAAAAACGCACTTAACAGAATGGTCCCGGGAAAGAAGTAAGTGGCGAAAAACAGACCAATTCCAACAAATGTTTGATACCAGTCCCCAAATGGCCACTGGTAGTTGCAACTTCCACTCTCTGGGTCGTAAGAGTTATTGTAGATGCAAAAGCTCTGCACGATCAAAGCGACGAGCCACACGACTACAACGATGGGCCAAGCAGGTATCGTACCTTTGCGGCTGACATATTGCATTGGGTGGACGATAGCAACGTACCGTTCTACGGTTATTGCGACTAATGTATAAGTCGATGCTACAAAACTCACCCACAAAATGGTAGCTTTAACAGTCCGACAGTAAATTTCGCCAGCTGTTCCGGTTGGTGGGTCAAAAAATCCACGTAACGTCCGTGGTACGAGAAACGCGGAGGCCAGTAGGTCTGCTACTGCTAAGGACGCAGTGAGTCTGAATATGAGCTGGGATCGAAGAGAAGGCGTTCTAAGCATAACGACGACAACCACGTAGTTGCTTAAAATACCGACGGCAGCGATGACAATCTCGGTCGTTTGAACATATGTCCACGCCGGAGCGATCGACGGACTTGACACCATTTGTTCCGTGAAATTGTCCTGCTCTGTGATATTCATTTTTACCTGTGTACACTACGACCACCATAAGTTTACATTACTTAATCAAATAGTAGTTGTCATAGAAATCGCTTGTTTACCATATGATTCAAGCGCCGCCGCCCTTAATTACTCCCATCATTTCAGCAAATCAATATGCGCGCGCGAGTGAAAACGCATTTCGGTTATAAATATTTCTTAACAACATACACGTCATATCAAACTCTAAACAATCGACGCTCTTTATCGGATAGAATGGTGATTCGACGGTGTGGATCACGTGATTACTATGAGCTAACTTCATCAGAGAATTTAAATTAAATTTATAAATATTGACTACGTGTCCGACATGATCTAGTTTGTGTTGTGCCATTATCCACGTTGTAACGTGAGTGTAGACTTGGATTATGCGCTACCAGATGATGATACTAATTCAAATAACTCAGTTAGATGTTTTACAAAAGCCAATCTGATTAAAATAAGATCCAGGTTGGCTTAATTTTTTTTTATATAATTACTATAATTATTCATTTTAATTATTTTTTGACGTTCCAATTACTTTGTAACGTCAAAAAATAATTAAAATATTAAATAATAATAAAGCAGACCCCAATTTAAAAACATAATGGTAAAATGTGACCCATTCCAGAGGGTTTTTTTTCAATTAAAAATATTTGAAAGCAACAAGGACGTCACAGGACTTAAGGGAATGACCATTTATTATTCCTGAGGGGGGGGGGTCGGGCAAAACAGAGGGAGGGTCAGCATATTTTCCAAAGCCACAAAGGGGAGCCAGTGACATTTTATCAAGGCTCAAGGGGCCGAATATTTTTCTCTTAAAGATTGAGACACATTTTTTTTTACTTTACGTCTTTTTTATTAAACACAAAATAAATATACTGAATATAAAAATATACATACAGAAAGTATTTTGTTAACAGATGTAAAATAATATATATCACAAAAATAAAAATGAAATGTCAGTACATGCAAATCTCTTTGTGTTTAAAATATATGTATATATAATTAAAAGAAGTATCCATTATTGCAAAACAGGTCTTATTAAAGCTGACAATCCATCTACACTGCCATCTAAACCACTGGCAACAGACCATCACCAGGAGCAACATCCTCATTGCTACCAACACAAGTGGTATTAGACACTACAATCACTAGTGACAATATCATCACTACCACCTACACCACAGCCCCACTGATATCACCAGTAACAACATCCTTATTACACCCAAGAAAAGTGGCAGTGGACCCACTACCATCGTTACCACTGTCACCTACACCAGACCTGCGGCCACTAAATATGGGCCTACCAACATCATCGATACCACCTACAACACAGGCATCAGCCCCACTGCTATCACCAGTAACAAAATCTTCATTGCCACCAACAAAAGTGGCACCAGTCTCACTGCTATCGCTAGTACCAATATCATCACTATCACCTACACCACAGACATCAGAATCTGATGACTCTGGGGATGATGACATTGTGGACCAGGAAATAGGCAGCAGCAGTGAAGAAGATGAAAATAGTAAGAGTGATGACAGTGCTATGTTAGAACAGACTGTAGTAACCAGGTCTGGATGACAAATATGTCGTGGAAAGCTCAAATTGATAAAATCTGCAAAGTTATTGCACCAAAAATTGGATTGATTTCACAACTACGTTATATTGTACCTATAGGCATAT